TGCATAATTTACCTAAGTGATGTAAACACGCTCTTGCGTAACGTGTAACGTACAAGATTTTACCTGACCCTACAATATACAGGAGGTTACGAACAATATTTTTCATTACCCATTTCACTCATCTTATAACAGTAAGGTTCATTTACAAACAAAAGCTAGGTTAGGAAAATTCTTCAAAACATAACAATAAAATTCAAGCACACAGCTGATTTCTAGCGTTAAACGTCGTTGGCTCCATAGAGTTATATTTTTTAAGTTATCCACTCAATGTTATTTAAATGGGTTTCATTACATCACCGAGTGAGTTTTTTGATACTTTACATCACTCGAGAAGTAAGGAAGTTGTATACATCACGCTTTGGATAGGGAAGTTTAACATGGCGGGTTAGGTAAACGCTCTTACTACACTTGTAAGGTAAATAGCTATTACAGCTGACTTAAATTAATTTATATGTTTACATTCTTTTAAAATGTAAACATGGAAAATTTGGTAGCCAAAGGGGCGTAGCCCAAGGAAAATATGAAAATTAAATGATATAATATTGCATTGTCATCCATTTGTGAGCTATGTTTCAAGTTTCAAGTCTCTAGCTCATCTGGAACTTCGTTTAAAATTGATATCAAAATTTGTAGGAAAGCGAGCTAATAAAAACAAGCCCATGGGACGTAGACCAAAGGAAATATGAAAATTAAATGATATAATATTGCATTGTCTTCAATTTGTGAGCTATGTTTCAAGTTTCAAGTATCTAGCTCGTCGGGAAGTTAGTATAAAATTGATTTCAAAATTTGTACCGGACAAAAAAGCGAGCTAATAAAAACGTTTTAATAAAATGAGACGTGACATTTGCCGGTGGTCCCTACGTAGTCACGACTCACTTCGTGGTGGAAAGTAAAGTTATTAGTTTCCTGGAAGATACTGCCAAGTTACTTTATCATTCAGAAATTATGTTTGCCCAAACAATCCAATATGAATTCTCTCTTTAATATTTCACGTTTATGTATATATATATATTTTTATAAACAAGAATCTTAAGAATTCAGTGTAACTAATTTTATATAAAACGATAAAATAAAATAACTACTGTATTTTTACTTGTTGATCATCAAATCATATTCCGAGCGCTAACAGGGAAGGAAAACGTCACTCCTCCACAAGTCCCAACTACATAATTGGCACTTTACCCATTCTGGCCCAGTAACCATGTAATTTTGAATCCGAGAAAAAAATTGTAACCAATTTCCATATTCCAACAGTTACTTGTGTAACTAGGGGGCGAAGTGGCACATTGCTGCACACAGTTGTTATTTATCTAAAAAATGTTGACGATTAATAGATTTTCTGAATTAACAATATGCAAATTAAACAAGCTGCGAAGAAATAAAGAAATTCGCATTTTATTTTTATAGACTACTAGCAGAGTACCGTCCTTCGTACGGGGCTGGCATATAAGTATAAAATGCTTATTGCAGTTATACTCAACTCAAGCTTTGCATTTACAATGGTGGAGGACACATTTTGATAAAATTTGCTTGTTTAAATTTACAGTATACTGTGGTATGACTGTACACATCTACCATAGCCATAATATTCCAGAACTTCACCTAAACAATAAAGCAAAGTAAATTGTTAAAAGTTCACAAAATATCAAAAACTATTCATGAAATTAAAAACATAAACAATAGTAACCAATCCTAATTTGACAGTTATCATTGCATGTCACAGTATTTTGTTGCTGCTTAGTTAAAATTAGCTGTTTTCATAAATGCAAAAAGGATTATAGTGCTGCACCCTGTTGGTAAATCTTATAACTTTTAATGCTTTTGCGTATCATAGAACCAACTTTTTTAGTTGAAACAGCTGACTAAATTCCTTAATTCCCTTTAAATATGAATACTCATAAGGTTAACATGGGAAACTACAGAGCCACTGGGGCGGAGCCCGAAAGGACTTTTGAAATAAGAATATGCCTATATGTTAATCGGGAATGTGAGCTACCATCATGCCAAATTTCAGCCCAATCCGTCCAGTAGTTTATGCGTGATTGAACTTCAAACAAACATACAAACAAAAAAACAAACAATCAGACAATCAAACACACAAATATTCACATTTATAATATTAGTAAGATAGTAAGATCATAATACAACGGCCCGATAAATCAAAATAGAGTAATAGTAAAACTTTAAAAGAGAATAAGACTCTCTTGTCAACTATTGTGTTCTGTTAAGACGTAGTTGGTATAGTGATTTAAACTATACAGTATAACTAAAACTAAACTGCATGAAAATGTATAAAACTAAATATTAATGAAACTTGAACTAAAATATAATGTTAATATTTATCGAAAAGATAAATATATAGATGCAGTACATTTTGATTACCGTAATAGACAGTGTGGGTAGGCTACAGTGTGGGATATGCCTACAGTTCAGCTTACCAATTGACTACCAAGCAAATATTGTCCTACGGTGCCAATACCGCAACTGACGAGGTGACGTTGTACCTAGGATTGGTTTACACTAAACACCCACACACACGCACATGCACGTTGAGTCAACTAGTTTCACAGCTGTTATCCTGAATCATATCACACAAACAACCGGCATTTTCGTTATATACGTTTTTGGTGAATAATTGGTGAATTCTTAGAATTGAGTTGCAGTACATTTGATTGCTCTGAGAATACTGTATACTTTGGACTGAGATTTTTCACTCACAGTGATAATCGTGAAATAATAGATGGGGCAAAAAAACACATCATAGTGTTTCATAGAATCTCATTTTTCCAACATTATTTTACTGTAATTGGTAAAATCTTATATAACGGATAATAGTACCTGTGTCACATGTATTAACTCATCATTAGGCTACACATTTGTGCAGTTGTCACCTGTTCAACATTGATTACATATAGTCAATGTGTGTAGTTATCAACTTGTACGATTCATTAACTTGTACAAAGTTCATTAAAATTATACGGAGAGGTTATGAAATTTGATCCCTAAAAGCGTTTGCATAATAAGGAGTTCGTGATTTAATATGCAAGACAGTATAAGGGTTTTCGTTAATCTTGAAAGTATAGTTTTGAATCAAGTTTTTTTACTTTCCATTAAAATAGTTGCGAGTGATGTCAGAAATCTGATATTGACACGAATAGGCTATTCAACTATCCATCAGCTAATCCTTGTTCAATTCTTGTTAACCAACTTATAAAATATTTTTATTAATTCAGTCTTTTAACAACTAACTTAATTTAAACTCAGAATTCTTCCTGCAAAGTTATTCCATCGTTCCATACTAAAATTTATTTTGATGCCAATCAATACACTACAAATTTACAAGATTACATTTATACATATAACTAATTACACTTCTCCTACGTATTTTTCAAGTATACGCCTATTATATGCGTATGAAACACTCTAGTCATCAGCAACCAGCAACAAGCTATATCAGCTACCAGCAACAAGCTATATCAGCTACTAGCTCAATGCTAGTATAGTAAATTTATTTACTATACTAGTTTTTAATTTTTGACTAAAATGCCTGTAACTAGATCTTCAGAACTTCTGGATATTATTGACGGTCTTTTTTATATTGAAGATGATGTAATTGAACTTGTATCTAAGTTTTACAGTGAGTTACGTTGCACCTCGGCCACATTTGGTGTGGATTCGATTGAAAAACTTGTCCCGCATGTGTCCAAACTTTTATCAAAACTTAATGACATTAGTAAGGAAAACAAAGAACTTGTCCAAGACCTAAATATTCTTCGTGAAGAAGTGTCTACTATCGAAAATAAGTTTTCTGGACTAAATAATAGTATCAAAGAAAAAGCACAAGAGTACAATGAGCTTGAAGATGACTGTAGCGAGAAAATTTCACGTTTGACAGAACAGTTAAAGAAAGTAAAGGAGGAAAACCGACAAATCAAGGCGAGTCGCAACCAATTAGAAGAGATTGATGTCGAGAGGCTTAAACTAGAGCACGAGGAGAAGGTGGAAGCGCTGTATGCTGAGCGTAGATGTCTGCTGACGACCATCGAGGTGCTGGAGGCTGACTTGCAGGCTCTGCGGTCTGAGGTGAGGACGATGTCGGCGCGAGAGAAGGAGAGCCAAGCTGCCGCCGATCTCTATACCGAACTGTCCCTAGCTGCCATAGACACTGTCGAGTCACATCCAACAACTACCTCTACTATTGACCCTCCAACAGTAATACCTTCATCCACCCCCACGAGGCCTCAGTGTTCGAATGACAGTAACAAGAAGCTCAAGAGGGTACTGCTTATAGGCGACTCACATCTTCGTCATGCCAGTAAGAAATGTGTTGACCGAGGTGCAATCTTAGAGTGTTGGCCTGGTGCAAAAATTGGACACATCAAGGAAAAATTGTTGACCTTTGTAAACTTAGACTTAAGCGTAGTTTATATTCATGTAGGATGTAACAACCTTAGGAGAGGCTACAGGGGAGGTCCAGGGTACAATGGAGGGCACGGAAAGCGAGAAGTCCTTCACAGCATGGCGGATCTGTTGTATACTGCCAAGACAAATTTTCAAAATTCTAAAATTGTTTTGAACAGCGTCCTAATTAGGCAAGACATTGGCTATAGAGCTCTCCACGACTTCAACTATCAGTTGGAGCTAATGTGCAATAACTTTGACGTTGAATTCGTGGAAGTTAATACTTGTGTTGGCAGGAGAGACCTCGCCCGAGACGGTACTCATTTGAACCGTAGAGGCACCTCACGACTCGGATCACTGATTTTAGAAGTGGCTTCGCGGTATCTGGATCAGCCAGCTCCGCAGTCTCTCTCGCATGACCATGGTAGAGTCGCGTCTGTTGCTCCTGCTCCTGCTCCTGGTGAGGTGACTGGGGTCGAGGCTGTTGGCGGTCATCATGGTGGTTCCAGCCAACATGGAGACCCGCCCTCGCCGAGGCTTTCGGGAAACTTGCTAGGAGGGGGGGCACCAGAGAACTCAAAGTCGCTCATTTAAACATGCGCTCTCTGAATACGGGGTTTTCAGAGATGTGCTCACTGGTGCGTGACTTTGACTTCGATGTTTTTGGAGTGTCAGAGACGTGGCTGTGCCCTGGAACACCATCAGAAGACTTCTCTATGCCTGGGTATCAGTTGTTGCGAGCTGATCGTAACACAAATGTAGAATGTGAAGAAGATCAAGGAGGTGGGGGTGTTGCCATCTATATCAAAGATGGTATACACTTTGAAAGTCACAGCTTTGAAGATAGTTTGAGTCCTGGCATAGAGGCACTTTGTATCATTTTGAAAATGAGTGGTGAGAGACTCGGGCTATGTGTGGCCTATCGACCGCCCAATGTGAGGCAGTCTTGCCTTGCTTCCTTGTTTCACTCTTTGTTTGTGGATCTTGCAGTCGAAGTGAACAATGTCATTTGTTTAGGGGACTTGAACGTTGATCTCATGTCGAAAAATAGTAACGAATATCAATATTACAGCCGACTCTTGAAAGAAGCATGTGCTGTACAACTAATTAATGAGCCAACGAGAGTAACAGCAACTTCAGCCACCTTGTTAGACCATATCATTGTGGACAGGTTGACTGAAGTCAAGAGGACCGGCATAGTGGATGCTTCGAGTATAACAGATCACAGAGGCATTAAGATAACAGATCATAAGTTAATTTATTGCATACTATGTACAAGTAGGAACAAACCTGAAGCCAAGTTAATAAAATATAGAGATTATAGAAATTTCGACATTAATCAAGTTGTAACTGAGATTGCCGCAATGGACTGGAACAGTATTAGGAACGAACAGGAAATAGATATTGTGGAAACATTGATTACGTCTAATATTAGAAAGATATTTGATGACAATGCACCAATAGTGTGCAAAAAAATTACAAAGAGGAAGGCTCCTTGGCGTAATGAAAATATTAAACGGTTGACAAAAGAGAAAAATAGACTGCGAAATCGTTATTGGAAAGATAGATGTGATGAGAATTGGGAAAGGTATAAGGGCGTTAGAAATAGGTTAAATAATATGATCTGGAGTGCGAAAAAGACATATTTTTCTGATAAACTATCGTCCTCAAAAGACCCAAAAGAATTTTGGACGTGCCTCAAAAGGAATGATATAATTGGCTCTAAGAGTAACTCAAGCATTCCACATGATCTGCAAGCTAATGAGATTAACGAATATTTTGTAAACATGGGAGCTGAGACCGATATTGATAAACAGCTTTGGGAATATTTTATGGATAATAAACGAGATGGCATTATAAATACCTTCAATTTTCAATATGTCAGTGAAAAAGAGGTTATGGATGTAATGAATGAGATCAAATCTAAAGCAGTGGGTAGCGATGAAATTTCAATTGAAATGATTAAAACTGTCAGTCCGTATGCGATAAAATCAATTACCCATCTGATAAATCTATCACTAGACAAGGGACAATTTCCTAAGTCCTGGAAAATTAGTATTATCCGACCATTACCCAAACTTACAGCCCCAAGAAAAGTCGAAGACCTAAGGCCAATCTCAATATTACCAGCTATGTCAAAGATATTAGAGAAGATAGCTATTCGCCAAATAGTCAGCTACATAAACACACAAAATATATTACCCAAACTTCAGTCTGGATTTAGACCTAACCATAGCACGTGTACAGCCCTGACGAACTTATTTAGTGATATGATTGACGCCAAAGACAAGGGTAAATATAGTTCTCTAGTTATGCTGGACTATTCAAAGGCATTTGATTCAATGAACCATGAGATGCTATTGGCCAAAATGAAATATTATGGCTTTGACGAAAATATTTTGAAATGGATAAGGTCATACTTAGACTCCAGGCTGCAAGTGACGCAGTTAGAGAGTGAAACATCAACCCCGCTTGTCAAAACCCAAGGAATTCCCCAAGGCAGCTGTCTTGGGCCTGTTCTGTTCAATTTGTACACGGCAGACCTTCCTAGCTGTGTGCAACATTGTACAGTTCATTTGTATGCCGATGACTCACAGCTGCACTTGTCTTATGAGCCATCCCAGATTAGAGCTTCACTCGATCTCATTAACTCTGATCTGAGAAAAATCCTTTTGTGGTCAGAAGCAAATGGGTTGAAACTCAATACTGGCAAGTGTACTGTGATGCATACGGCGCCACAAGACTTGGTGCAGTCCCTCAGCGAGAGAGGAGTGAGTGTTGTGCTCAACGGGGAATCTTTGACTTTGTGTGACAAGTCAAAGACTCTTGGCGTTGTGCTTGATAGCAGCCTCACCTTCTCTGACCATGTCACACATGCTTCGCAGCGCGCGTTAGGAAGGCTGAGAGGGCTGTACAGGTTTAGAAGTCTGCTGCCAGAATCTGCGAAGCTGCGCCTCATGCAGTCACTAGTCCTGTCGGTGTTTACATATTGTCTCCCTGCTTATGGAAACAGCATCTCTGGAGTAGACATGACCCGAATGCAGAAACTGCAAAATTCAGCTATTCGCTTCATTTTTTGCCTCAAAAAATTTGAACATGTCTCTCCCTATAGAGCTGTAGCGGGGATGACAACAGTAGACACTGTTTGCAGGATCATGACGTGCTGCATGGTGCACAAGGCTCTTGTCTTACAGGAGCCACAGTACCTTCTTGAGAGGCTCTCTTTCCGGGAGGAGGTCTCTCAGCGCAGTACCCGCCATGGTGGTCTCCAGCTTCACTTTCCAAGAGTGAGGCTTGAGTTTGGGAGACGAAGCTTCTCGTACTTCGGTCCAAAACTGTACAACGACCTCCCCTCTGGCCTCAAAAAGTATTCTTTATCATCATTTAGAGTTAAGATCAAAGAATTGTGCACTGATGGTTAATTATTGTTACTCATATTGTCTTGTTTCTGTTTTGTTATTGCTCTATTTATTTGTTGTTAGTTTTATATTGTTTTTGACGAAAGTTGTTCTGAGAAGCAGTATTTGTACTGAGAAACGCTTAATAAATAAAGGCATTTTTATTTATTTTATTTATTTAATGCACGTAGCGTGTTTAGTAAAGCAAAGTTTACGGCGCATTTGGTATTCCTCAGCAAGCTACGGTTTTCAAACAATACCATCACACTGACCAAGCGAACACCTTAGGATTTCCTCAGCACGGCGAAACTTAAGCTTTTCTCAGCATGATACTTCAAAGATTAAAATATGGTGGAAGTGAGGAGAGTAGAGTTAGAAGTAAACAGAGTAAACTAATGTATGCAGGAGAGAAGTGCGGTACACACCGGTGTCAAGAGTTTACTGTCGTCGAGAGAAAAGTGTTTATGTGGCAAGACTCACAAGGAACCTGGAAACATCGTTACTACAGAAAGAAAACACCAAGCCAAACAAATATGATAATCGTAAATTATGTATTACCTGTTTACATAATCATTTGTTGGGATGTAGTTATTGAGATTTACGTAGAATGCGTGCAATAATACTTTCAATTCGCTGTTCAGCCTTAAAGAATAATATCTGTCAGTCCCTGTTGCCAGTGAACTAATAACATGACAGTCTAAATTATTTGTTTGGTATCCGCCAATCAATGGGCTCAAAATAACAGCAGTTCAATTAATAAGTAGAATGAGTAATTATCTTTAGCACTAGCTAATTGTTTGGTCATTATCATCTAACAATTATTAGATAATACTTATAGTTCTTTCTTAAGAAGATAGGAAAGAAGTATAGACCAACATTTCGCTCTATTCTACTGTCATCCCCTACTCGAAATTAGTTGATAATGCTTACTCATGGTTTTTTTCGACTGTCCATTCGGTGTATAGTCAATGCCATTAGTAAAATGAAAGAAAATAACCTACTTTTGTATTTTATTTCTACTTTTGTAAATAAGGTTAAAATTCCAAATCACGTTGAAGTTTTTAAAAATTAATTCCACAACAGAGTGTTCGTCTTTTTTCACCATATATACAATTCAGCTTGATTAAAAACTGTAACACATGTTAAAACACAGATTATAAATAGATTTATTTGTATTATTTTATGAGCTAGACAAATACTTGGCTTAAAATACCTACTTTGTATGTTCGCCATTTCATTGAAAAGTATTAAAATATTACGTATAAAGTAAATATATAAAATTAAAATGTTGTTGAATAAAATACTAGCTAATTATACTAGTTTGACTTTTACAGTTTTGTTGTTTCAACTCGTTCAAATAAAACTGGCCCGGGTTTGGCTACACAACAAAAGGAAATGCTCCTGGCCGCGAATGATTAGAAGATCAGCAATGTTTTCAGATAATCCTCGCAATCCTGAAACTCTTTGCTTACCTTTGTCAAATATATTTTTACATAAGATCTTTAATTCTACAATAATGTATACTAGTGAACCTGTGCGGCTCAATGCCCCGCAAAATAACATATGAATTTAGAAAACAAATTCATCGTACTCGACGTCGAAAATTAAATACGGTAATAATAACGCCTTAAAAGGGAAGCAGTCCAGTCATTTTCTAGCTGTGTGTGTATTATATTTAGTAAATTAATAAGTGTTCAAGTTCAAGTATGTTATAGAAAGCGAGCAAGGTTGTAAGGCAGTTATTTTTTAAAGATTTTTAAAACAAATTTAACAAAACATTTTATCATATCAAACCAATAGGCCTATGTAGCATATTTTGAGGGTCATAAAAATGCTGCTTGAAGAAAATACACTTTTAATAATAAACACTAAAAAAACAATATTTTTATCACAAAATCACTTCCATGAATACTACGATTTTAGCCTTAAAGTTACCTTCAGGAAGATTACCCTGGTCAGAGTTTTCCGTAACGAATATGCGTATCCTATTAAAAGATGTAGCCTTACTTAATACAACGTATAATATAGTTGCTCTAGACTGAAATTGGTCCGGGTAAGAACAGCGCTGCAAATGCCAAAGGTAACAGAAATTAGCATCTTTCCATTTTAAAAGGTAAGTTTGTTTCAGACGGTTAATTTTTATCCTCGAAATCAAAATATGTCCCCACTCACTTGTTCCAGTTAAGACTTTACATTCTATTAAGTTGTTAACCATTCTGATCACATGAAGCCTTGTGTCATTAATGAGGCCCTTTTTTATGTATCAATATTCCTCATCAATAACCACCACTGCCCCCTTTTATTAGTCTAATCTGTGTCTTGGCAATCCACTGACCTCTATATTTAAACACTCAGTTGGATTTTCTAGATGGGTGTCTCCGCCTTCGTCTGTTTTCAAGGACCCACTCTTCTTGGTATACTGACAATTAATTACCTGACTTGTCAAGTTCATGTAGTAATTCATTATACTGTTAGTCTATAAAGAAAATTAGATAAAAGTTACTTGGCTTGGTGCTTTCATAACTGCAAACTCAAAATACACCCACAAGTAAAAAAGAATCAATATATCGGTTAAAAAAATATGTTTGTGTAATAACATTATTCACATGAAGTAGATGATTTGTTTGATTTGTTGATCAGCTGTTTAGTTTCAAATGAATTAATAATGTCAAAGATTTGTGATTTGAATACATAAATTATTATAGTAAAGTTTTCTAAATCATGGTAACTTATTCTCCACTAAATTTTACTATTCCCAGCATTAAAATAAAGTAGTAAGATCCATTATGGGTAAACTTTAAGGTACACAATCCTTGATTGAAATGTAGTAGGTATACATTAAGAGTCATAATACCTAGAAATTATTATGTAGTAGACTTTGACTATTTTTAAGTAACAAACATATGTTTCTGTAAATAAAAATTATCTCCCATGTTATCCTTAAGGATAAATACGAAACTTTAAAGGGCTCCAGGGCCTCAATCTCTCATTATTTCCCTAAAATGAAAGTTTCCTGCACAACTTCACGTTACCCTCTTTCCAATGACACCAAAAACATGTCAATCGGTTCAGTAGTTTCGGAGGAGTAATTGTCACAAAAAACCTGCTTGCGTATTAAATAAGTATAGATGTAATATTGGTACTGTAATATACAGTGGTTTTTGTTCAGCAACAAAAAACAAGTAGGCCTACTGTGAGGCACTGTATGACGATGAAACAAGCTTACAAGGTTTGTTTATCCAGTTTAATTTTCTTCATTGCCGATCAGCTGATATGCATTGTTGCATAAATATCCATGAGGCTTATTGTTGTTGGGAGGGGAATTTATTTTAAAGACGGTTCAACATGGCATTTTTTAGGCCTATGTGCTGAAATCACACCTGGAAACTTAAGATCAAACCTTTTTTGGTTAAAAATAATAATAATACAAAAATAGAGTATTTTAATTTAACATTAAGTTTTTAAATAAAGGGACCAACGGTAATAGATAATTCGTCGTCGTCGTCGTCAGATCTTCATAATTTAGAGTTTATATTATTTATTATAAATTATAGTCATTTAGACTTTAAGCATTGCTTGGAAAAAATAAGTATTAACTGCTCACTACGCTAACTCGGTGTCTGTAATATAGTTAAAGCAAACAGGGAAAGTTCATTTTGTAGGGCTGCAGATAAGGATTTATTTAGTAGGCACCTTGTTTTGTCCAGCCTTGTTTTGGAAACCTGTTATTAGTTTTAGTGACGTCAATAGTTAGTTGCTTAGATACATTTGATAAAATACACCATGCATGTTATGATAGCTCTTGCTATTAAATAATACACCAGTAAGGATAGCAAAAAAGCAAATAGATAAGAATTAAATGGTTTGCAAATAGTTTGTTTGATTAACCGTAAAGATAGTCTGCATTAACAATACTCAAAATTAAAGCACTGGTCAGTTAAAGTTAAAATATAACGCTATATAATGCTAACGAAATATGTATACGAATGAAATATGAATATGTAACAAAATGTATCAAACAAGCTAATTGAATTACTATTCAAATCTTACTCAGAGTCACATCACTCTTGAGTCCCATCAGAGATCTTATGGTGACTCAAGAGAGTATTGAGGGGAAAAGTATCTAAAAAAGCAAAAGGTCTTTTAACAACATAAACGTATACAAGGTGCTGTCCCAGCGTAAAAGAAATTAGGTTGATATTGCAAAAGCGTTTACCAAATATTTTTGTAAATTTGTCCCTCAGTTAAAGCAATACTTTGTGGATGATATTTTTATGGAAGATGTAAGTGAGAATAAGTGAGGTGTAGTTTGTTTTACTTTTAGATATGAGGAGGCGGTTGTTACTATTAAAATACCTACTTTGTATGGTCGCCATTTAATTGAACGGTGTTAAAAAAATATTTACAGTATTAAACGTATGAAAAAAAGTTTAGTGTAGGTATTGATGGAATAAGTATTTTTGTAACTAAGGAAAACTTGGATTTGCCACTCTCCTGTTTCATTTACACATGGTTTTTTCCTGATAGGCTTAAAGTAGCCACTGTTGTCCCCATTTACAGGTCAGGTGATCCCTCTGAAGTCGTTTTATACTGTTCAATCACAGAAAATAGAATAAACCTTTGAATCCCTCATTAAATAAAAAATATTTGAATATTTGATTAATAGGGGTAGAAAAACAAAAATGTGTGGTTAAATTTTAAATCACCAAACGTCAGCCGTGTTATTATTGACAGGACCTTGTCTCTGTGACAGTATTTGAATTTGTTGTAAGGTAATGGCGTATTTCCTCCCCAGTAAAAACGGTAACATTTGCAATTATTGGAGGAAATTGAATTAAAATAGTGATTGCAAAATTTACTGTTAACAGTAATGTATTTAACGATATTCAACACATTTAGCAATAGTATTAAAATGGGCTATTACTGCACAACGAATATTAACAGTTCCACGACAAAATACAGAACTCGTGAAACAATTATTACATTTTGAGTCTTTCTCAGAATAGTAGTAAAACAACTTTAACCTCTTTCTAGAGAATTTCTGCTGAGCCTCAAAATGTAAAGATGAATTTAATAAAAGTACATTTTTTATCTAACTTTAGCGAATTTCCCATATAGGGAATAAGCTATTACCGTAGTACTCATGGTAAGACCTGGACCCGGGACCGATTTACTTTTTCGTTTTGAGGTTCCTAGAGACCAAAAACACCATCCGTTTAAATTCATATATATATATATATTTATATATATATATATATTTATATATACATATATATATATTTATATATGTGTCCGTTAGCGCGATAACTCGAACAAAAATGATCCGATTTTGATGAAATTTGGTACAAACGTGTAATCCTACGTTTATTCGAACGAGTTCGCGATCCAGCATAATCGGACCATGGGAACGGGGGTTTATGGGGGGTTTTATGGGGTAAAAATGGGTTTTTCCCATTTTTGACCCTAAAAACAAAACATTTTACAATTTCTTCCTAAACCGTTTTGTAGAGCTTAAAAAAGAAATAATTTAGTATATTGAAGCGCTGTTGTACGCCTAATGGTCACGGAGAAAATTCAAAAATAGTGTAATTTAAAATTCCCATGTCATTCTTATGGAGAAAATGAAAATCGTTGTAGTTTACTTGTTTATGGATATATATTGATAAAATTTGGCAAATTTATTTATTTCATCCTATACTATTGACGTATAGTCAAACAACACTTTTTACCTTCCCCGTAGCAGCAAACCTAAGCACTCGTTAAATATAATGTTATTTAAATAGGGAATAAATATGTCTTATTTATGGAAATATTTTAGTAAAAATGTAATCAGACAAGTTGAAATTCGCTTAGTCTGCAGGTTTGCTGCGGCGGGGGTATTATACTCTTGTGATCGGTTGACACAAGTTTCATATTCTTTTGGTCGATTTAAAGATTTAAAATATAAATACATCAAATGTATTGCATATTAAACCGCTCATTTTTACATGACTGACATTTATTATACTTATTATAAGTTAATAATAATGTAGCCTATAATAAATCAAATCACACAAAAATATTTTTTATTAATGTATACTATAATAACAATAAAATATTTTCATTTTTCGATTAAATATATTTTAAAACCATGTATATACTGTTTTATAGAATATAATAAGCTGTTAGGCCTAGTTTTATATTAGATAACATTTAAATTTTGAATATATACGCCAACTAAAAAGCTGTACAAAAACTAAAAATTGTAAAAATCCAAGTTGAACTGGCGTAACCCTTTAGTAAATACAGAAGTATTTTTTTTTAAATTATTAAATTATAATAAGTAAAATAAAGAAGCATCTATTAGACAGTACAGATCTAAGAATAAATATAGTGGTAAAAGCAGTTATTCTATAAAGATAAATGATTCAAAATCCCTAAATTTTTACATTTGTTTATAAATAACCAACTACACTGGTGAATTGGGCTGTAACATAGGCTATGTATCTCAACCAGGGCTGGTTTCAAACGTTAATTAAATCCATCGCTTTTCCTGTGTCGAAGTAGCAATGCTTTTCTGTTTTTTAAATGTCAGTCATATAAACTCCATTCGTAAAAATACATGAGCCATTTTATTTAAGTTTTAAATTCACAGCTGTAGAAAAAATATAATTTATTTGTACTTCTAATATGCACTTTACACAAGAAAAATGTTTGTTTACATCATGTAATTTTTTAATGTTTATCGTACAGTTAAATTTTATCGTAAAATTTAAATGTAATTGTATAAGAAACCTTTGTCGCTTGGGAAAGGGCAATTCCTAAATGACTCATAATCTTTCCTCAGTATGCATTTGAAGTTGCTGAGGTAATAAGTTTCTATCAAATCCACTTGTTCACAATGTACTCAGATAAACATAAAATATTAGAGAATTTCCCTAAGTGAAATAGGCTATTTATTTTTGTACTGAGAATGAAGTTCTTTTAATTAAAAAATATGTTAGGTATACTAGGGCATAATCGCCTATTTTGTCCTACTCCAAGCATTGCAGTTGAGTATGACATATTTTAATGCTAAAATACAGATGCAGTATTTAGCGACTCCACGCTCACAGATCAGTTTATCAATTTCCTACCACTGATAACCAAGTTAAAATACCACAATAAACACTTACACGAGTAGATAATCATAACTACTATTGATTCAAACCGCATCGTTTTGTACAGAACGAATGTGTGAAGTTTTATTTCACCCACTGTTCAAAAGAGTTGTCTTAATTTCCCAGTTTTGAATGTATCAGCTTTATAATATTAGGTATGATAAAATATTCCATACATACTCCCATAACAACGGTCATATAAAGGTGAACGTTTATAAGTAAATATGTATATAATCATTTAAATAATACGCTACAGTATTACTATACATGAACGGTTGCATTTTCATAGTTTTACTTTTAAAATATAAAACAATTAATTACAACTTGCATATTTTCCTGTTACCATCTGGTAAAAATATATCTGTGGCAGGAAAGCTGTTGCCAAGTGACGGCAGAGTACATATTTTTAGCACCAGGTTATCGGGTTAGGCCCGGTCTGGCGTTGGTTGCTAAGCGACAATACCACAAACCATTCTCCCCCTACCTACCAACCAACCCTCCCCCACCCACCTGTTGATATCATCACTATCAGTCCAGAACAGTCGTGCCCGCGACACTGTCCGACACGGTTCTCCGTCATTGGTAAGTATACAACTTCCAAAACAAAATAACTGAATTGAAATATGTTAAAAGAAAACAAATGCCCTAATCTTCATGAAAAAAAACTTAAAGAAAATATAATGGTCTTAAAAACAGAGTATTCAAAAGGTTTAAAGACCTGTTTGGATTTAAAAGTATATATATATATTTTATATTAATGATTTTACACTAAGTAAAATATGGAAAGCTCAATAAATTGCCTCTAGTATCCTATAAGTGTACTTACAAATCTTTCACAAAATAACAGTATAAATCCTATACTTGCGATATAGACATCTAATCACCGCTTCACTTTGAAGACAAACTTGTTTGGACGACCCTTATAGAATATTTAGTAGAAGAGAAATATTTTAAGAGGAGGTATTTTAATATGATCAACCCTGTTTCAATTGTACGCATAGTAAAGATAGATGTTACATCCACCACACTATTAGGAACAACCGTGACAAGGGACAAGGTTCCTATATGTACCTAATAAGAATGAGCATCAAGACCTTATGGACACACCGTTTGAAAGTGTATTTGCTTTGCAAAAAATATTTGATTGTATACAGTACTCTGTATTTGAGCATCTTACATTTTAATGTTAAGTGTTATATTATTGATTTTAGATTCACGTTCATATGATAAGATGGATTAAATAACTGAACGAGTTTTAGTTGCATTTTCCACTTGTCAAATGAAAACAATTGAAATATTTTATATGACATGAACAAGCAACAAAATAATTTAAATAAATATGAAATTTAATTATGTACACTCATCTAACACAACTTATAACTAAAATTGCAAACGTGTTCTCAAATTAGTTTTGGAATAAATATTTTAAATTTAGACTATAGTTAGTTATCATATTTTCTGGCCTTAAACCTAGATAAAACAAATGACAAATACTGTACTTGGTAAAATGAAATGGTTAAAAATCAATATAAACAAATCTTTTAGAAAAACGTTCCACATTAATGGTGGATTTTGTATGTTTAGTTCTTTGTCCATTCTACAATTAATTTACAAAGCAATATTGTAAAAGCGACGCAGCAGTTGATTACCAGCAATGGCGAACAGCGTTGCGCCAGAAGCTATTATTATTACTGTAGTCCAACGAGTAACTGGAAAAATGATTGTTGCCAATTATGCATGTGTAGTAGAATATTTAAATTACAAAGAAAAATTCAAAACAAATTAGTGTTATCATGGATGCCGTGGTCGTCGCTAAACGTTAAATTATAAAGAAGCGTCCAATGTTCATTAACAGTGTTGACAAAACCAACTGAAGTTGTGATTCGAATCACTAATTAGAGAAATAAACTAGTAATGAGCCATTTATGTTAATTAAAGTTAAATGTATTATTCATATCAACCAATTAAAACAAGACACATTGAGTGAGCGGAATTTTAAGCAATAGGCCTAACGTAATGGTAAAGTAATTCTTAAATGAGATTTTAATAAGAAATTACATATGGTTAGTACAGTTACCATGGAAACGATTATTCGAGAGATATTACGGTATGTAAATGGGAGTGTCTTCAGAAATTATTTTGTAGTACATGAGTCATCGTTTTATATTTAACCTAAGGTTGTTATTGTTAGCCTTAAGTGCTCTAAAACTGTTATGGAGTCATAAGCATGAAATCTGATGTTACAAGCTAAATTCATAACCACCAATATCTCGATTTATGATTATAGTGCCCATAAATAAGCTTTTAATGAAGCACGGTCTATATGGTTAAATATGTTCAATATTTATGTTTGGTGTGGACTGGTAATCAGATGCGTTTATCTGATTTAAAAAAAATTGCAATAGGAAGGGTTAACGAAACCTTGTGGACTGTTTACCATTAGTATCAAATGGATTATTAAATTACTTACGTACTAGCTTATAGTTAAGTATGAATTGATGAATAGCTAAATTAATCAATGGTATACTTACATGATTAGTTTATTATGCTGTGACTTGTAACAGAAAAATTAATAGTAAAAGACATCCTATTATGTTCAAAAACATTATTGATACTTGAAACATTTAGTAATCGTTTCAAAGCTGGAAATGAAGCATAAAAGACGTGATCAAAGTTATTTTAAATTGAGGCTGTGCACTCACATTGACAAAGTGCTTGGTAGGTTAACATAAAAGTTACTTTAAAAAATCACTAAGAAATTTTATTAACATTTTTTTACGGAAAAATCATTATAGATAGAACATAGAAAATCAGAACATACTACGTTTAAATGTGAAGTAAGATCATAAAGGCTCTCGACGAAACGAATCCCCACCTGGGTGGATAAACTAACACTTGTTACAAACGTCAACTCATTTTCAAGGTTTTCTATTGGAGCACCCAATGTATTAGCAAATTCCTAGATACTTTAAAGAGCACTTGTCTGAAAATCGAAGAGTATTAAGAGTCTCATTATTTGGGTTTGTGAATAGATAAAGTTAATTATTATAATTATATTTAATTAATTTAAAAGTACACACTGTGTATTAAAAAAAACTGACAGAAATATTTATGTACGTGTTTACAAACTTTGCTGGTTAAAGAGTTTTAATTTGAGGAAATACATTTGCTTAAGAGCTAAGTTACATGATCATTCGGTCCTCTCTGAAAAATATTTCCTCTATCCTAGGATCAGGTGTGGATGTATTCCATTGATAACATATATACTTTATAACAATATTACATGATATAGGCAATTTACTGATTTACAACATAAAGTACGAAGGAAATTGTTTTGATGGGGAGTCAAAGTCGAAATTTTTTAATTTTTTTCAATTTTTACTCTTTATGTTCTTTTTATAGCACAGAATTTCTTATTAAAATTGGTATACTTACATTTTTGATTACTAACCTAGAAATGTATAAACAAATTTATTTTCCATAACATTGCAGTGACGTTTTAAAGGTAAAATTAGTAGACCCTTGGTTGACCCTTGGAGGCTTTTCTTGCCGATTTCAGCAACTTAACTTTTTTAAACTTAAATGTCATTTTTTCAGGACTGGTAATACATACAGCTGTGAAATTTTTACAATGTAGTCTTAGTGACTTAATCTAAACACAGACATAAGGAATTCATCATATCTTTAGTAGAAGCATGTAAAAAAATGATAAATTTTATTTTTGAAACACATTTTTTTTAAATGTATAAAAACCCATCATATAGTTATTTTAAATTTTAAATGAAAAATCTTGTGTCTGTCACTAGTTAATTAGTTCATAAAAAGTATACCCAGTTTCACTATCCTACCTGTTCTAACTCCTGAGAAAAGTGACATTTAGTTAACATTACTAAAGATAGGACCTCGGACTCCCCTTATTTCCATGTATCTTTGCTTGTACTCTAGGTTTAGTTTTGTGCTTTATTCCTAAACGAACACAAAAATTAGAATTGGAGAAAACACACGAATTGGAGAACATTTATAAAGGGGGACATTCCTTTATTTTTTGTGGCAGTTAATTTTAATTGCTATTTATTCGTCTAAATTGTACTAAACACATTTAAGCTTTCCGGTATTTTCTTAACATTATTAACAAGCCTAATAACACACCTCGTATTAGAGCAGAGGAATACATCTCCTTAAGTGAAGACGCTTGTATTATAAACAATAGACACACCAGAAAATTCTAGAAAACAATTACAATCCGCAATAATAAAACTCTAAAACGATTTGGAATTGACTGTACAGAATTTCTTTTTCAAATGTTCAAATGTTTTTAATTAGGTTTTAATTTTTTGTCTCCGTTTCGCAGAGATTAGGGAGGAACATAAAGGAAATAAGATAAATATCTCTTTGCTCTTTTATAAATGAGTGTATTTGATAAATAATTCTACCTAGACAAATAGCCACTGTTTAAACCTTAAGAGAACTGGAGCATTGTACTATGGCCTGTCGAGGAACTAAACACTGTAGTTATAGCTAAGAATATCATTGCATTATACTATATAAATTGAGTGATTACAATGACCTGAGCTAATGCTGACATTATCTAGAAACCTGAGTTTTAATTAATGCCACTCCTTGGAGTATGGCGTAAACTGACTACGTAATCCAGCCTCAGCCTGTCACGGCGAACCGACGTTTAAACCTCGCGTGGAATTTATCTGACACCCATTTTTCGAGTTAAAAGAGATTTATCTTTTTCACCTGGAATAACATTATTCCTAAATATTTTCTGTCGTAAATAGCATCTGCAACATAGAGGTAAGATTTATTGAGTAATGGAAAGCATTTACATTTCAAACAGTTGGTGAAGAAGGACGAATATGTTAGTCTTTATATCAATTCGTAGAATGCAAGTCCATTTGCTTAGACACTTCTACGTATGTAAAACCAGCCTTGGGATACGTCATAAGAAAGAAACTATGCGTCCCACAGAAACCTTTGAGCTATGAATAAAGATTGATTTAATTTCTATATGCCACAAAATTAAAGGAATCTCTCCCATTTAAAGTTTTCTCTGATTCTTACCGTTTCCGAAATTCCAATGGTGGCCTTCTTGAGTCTATCACCTTGTATAACTAGAAGACGAATTATTGTTTATGGTTAGAATGATTATATAGTTTTATATGTTTAAACTGTATTTTAAATTACTGAAATAACCAGAAACAAATTGTACACAATAGGCTACAACGGTTACATAAGAATGAGAAATCTACTAAGGGAGTATGTTCTATTTATGCTTTTACCATGCAGTTGCATAACTTTACAAATTCAACCCTAAATGAAATTGCCTCACTAACAAATCAAAACCTAAATAAAATTGTTTCAAAAATTACCAAACGATATCTGAATGGAATTTTGCAAGCATAATGAATCAAAACCTGAACATAATACTGTCGGTTTCAGGTTAAGTTAATCTATTGTAGCAATGGTTCAATGGGATGACAAATAAACACTGCACCAGCTGATCATTTTGCAGTGTTGCCAACTCGTTTTCAATCATACCAGTATTACGTGCCTAATTCGAGCTCACTATTTTG